TGGATGATCTCAAACTCTTTGCCAAAAACGACAATGAGTTGAAGGGCCTCCTCAATGCCGTAAGATGCTTCAGTGACGATATAGGTATGGACTTCGGATTAGATAAACTTCAAGAAAGGGAGAATTATAGAAACAACTTCAATAGATTTAGACTTTGTCAGTAAAGAGTAGGTAACTGGAACAAGATGAAGCATATAAGTACCAAGGAATTAGCGAAGGAGATGGTATACAACATTCCCAAATGAAGGAGAAAGTAAGAAAGGAGTACTACAGGCGGGTATGTCTGGTACTAAATAACTCAAAAAACAAAATATCAGCCATAAACACCTTGGTTGTTCCTGTGGTGCAATACAGCTTTAATGTCCTTAACTGGACCATAGCTGACATTAAGCGAATGGACGCCAAAACGAGAAAGCTTCTCACTTGCTACCGCATGCATCACCCCAAAGCTGATGCTGACCGTACTGTATATGCCCAGATCCGAAGGAGGCAGAGGATTTATTCAACTAGAACTGTCCTACAAAACTACAATAATTGGCCTTCAAAGATACCTGGAAACTACAGAAGACTGGATGGTGATATGTGTCCAAAACATGAAAGTAGTAAGCGTCTTTATTCTGTAATGAAGGAAGCCAACAAATTCAAAATGGAGATTCAAATGGCGTAGAGATGCAAGTACAGCACAATACACCGATTGAAACTGCAAAATACTTTTAAAAAAAAAAAAAAGAGAGCAACGACAAATGTAACCGACCAGATACAGAAACGATTGCAAGATAAACCGCTCCATCACCAGTACTCTGCCCGTACCAAACAAGCTGACGTAGACAAAACCCGTACCCATCAGTGGCTACGTAGTGCAGAGTTAAAATCTGAAACCGAAGGTTTTTATCCTTGCTGCATAGGATGAATGCTTGTTAAATAGAAATTATCAAGCACATATACTAAAATACTGTGTTGGCCAAAATGCAGATTTTGTGATAAATATCCAGAAACGATTGATCATCTTGTATCAGGTTGCACGATATTGGCACCCACTGAATATAAAACCTGGCATGACAGAGTGGGTCAATATCTGCACTGGAAAATCTGCAACTTCTACGGGAAGGAAACTGAAAGAAAATGGTATGAACACCACCCAGACCCGGTTACAGAGATAGGACCTGTTACAATTCTATGGGACAGAACAATCAAAGCCAACCGCCCAGATATTGAAACGACAAACCTAGGATTGGTTGAAAATCTTCAAAAGATATCAAAATATAAGGACCTTAGAATTCATGGCACATGGGAACATCAACAATCCCTGTTGTAGTTGAAACCCTAGGATTGGTTGGAAAAGATTCCAGTAGATTCATTGAAGGGATTCCTGGAAGTCCATGCTTTAAAGGAATACAAAAATTTGTTCTCGCGAGTTCAGCCCATACCTTACGAAGGGCTTTATCTATGTAAAATATGTTTGTGTTTTGTTTTTTTTGGTCAGTGGAAAAATGTCATGATGCCTTTGTCTAACCTTAGGTCTCTGGTCGGGACCCGGAAAGAAATGAGTACACACCAGAAATCAAAGGAAATAAAATAATAATAATAATGATAATAATAATAAATTGTTTTACGAGTACAGCCCACACCTTACAAAAAGCTTCATTTATATAAAATATGTGTGAATTTTCTTCAAAATTGCTCAGTGGGAAATGACATGATGCTCTTTCTGACGTTAGGTCTCTGGTCGGGACCCGGAAAGAAATATGTATACGCCAAAAACCAAAGGAAATAATAATAATAAAGATTATTTGTCTATATTTCTGAGATGAGGTATTACGTACATTATTTACATTATTCGAACTATTGTCCTCATCTTTGTCGCCATATTTATTACAATGTTTAGGCCGTCTACCCATTGAACGAAATAAAGGGTTCAGTTCGACATTCCAACCACCTGAAGAACGCCGGAGCGTACAACGGCCGAAACGTTGTAATAAATATGGCAACAAAGATGAGGACAATAGTCCGAATAATGTAAAAAATAATAATAATAATAGCAGCAGCAGCTGAAACTTATATGTAATCTAAAATTCTACTCCCCCACTTTTCAGACAATATTATTATATGCCTTGCTGTTTGGACCGGCAAGCTGACAACGTTTCGGTCGTTCTACCCATTGGCCCTCTTCAGGAATCTAAAACTAACCAATCGTATCTTTATTTACTCCACCTGGATAGATTCTTCGCATTTTGCTTTCCATCCTTTGGTGATATTTTCATATCAGTTAATGCTTCTTCTTCCATGTACCGTGTCCCTTCTGGACGTAGTTGATCATGACTCTCCACAATTTTCTTTACTTTGTAGCTTTTAATAAATTTTCTCTATTTTTGTCTCTTCTAAACCTTGTTCCGCCATCCATTTTTCAAGCTCACTAAGTAGGTTATGCATTGTTTTTCTCTGTATATCTTGCCGTCAGTCCTTCTTGTGAGTGTCAGATTCTCCAAGCCTTCAATACTTACTAATTTCATTCAATTTTCTGACGCTTGTCTGCTTCTTCTACTGAATCAAATTATATGAGTTTTAACTCAGGAGTACTACCTAACTCAAGGAGTGAACTCACACTTTCAGGAGCTAAATATATTTTAATCAATGCTTTAATCCACTAGGCTATGTCTATTAAGGCTTTGGTGAAAATATATCTGGTTCCTTGGAAGTTGTGATTTCAATTATTTGGTTGGGTAGGGCAAGAGGAGGCACGGTGGTGTAATGGATAGCGGCTAGGAGTGAAGAATCGGAAAGCCGAGTTCGAATTCCAGTCAAATCCATTACATTCACTTACGTGTTAATACCCTTGGGAAAAGGTATGGATCCGCTTCTTTTCCCCGTCCCCAGCTATGGGTAAATAACAGAACAGATCGGGTTGTATAGTCTTGGATGGCAACTAGTCTACCGCAGAAAGAAATGGCAACCTACTGCGTGAAAAAAATCTCTCGTCAGTCATGTATCGAAAGATACATGATCACCTAAACGTGTATCACGAAGGCACATAACTGACAGACCCTTGGGAAAGGGATGAATCCTCTTCTCCCCAACCCCAGCTATGGGTAAATACAGAACAGATCGGGTTCTATAGCCTTGGATGGCAACTGGTCTACCGCAGAAAGAAATGGCAAACTACTGCAGGCAAATAATCTGCCTCGTCAGATAGATATCGAAAGATACATGATCGCCTAAACGTGTATCACGAAGGCACATAATTGACTGACCCTAATGAATCCTACCCCCCAGTCCCCCAGTTATGGGTAAATAACAAGACAGACCGGGTTCGCGCATGGCACATAACTGACTGAGGGCAGGATACCAAAGTCACGTGGTCAGATTCAGTTGAGGAAACATACAAGCGACACAAAAGTGAATACAAATGATGAATATTAGTTGATTTTGATATGTTCCATAAGCATGACTGAATGCAATATACTCTACCCTCGAATAAAGGGTACACTTCAAAATTCTAAAATTTTTATGAGTACGACAGACGCCTGAAAAGGCCAGTGTATAACGACTAATTCGTCGTACGTGTAATAATGTTTGTAAAAATATAGATTTTAGCGATAATTCTTTATTAAAATATAAACTGTAAGTGTAATCTTATTCTGTTGGCAAAGCCTGGGAAAACATTACATTGTTTGGTGTTGATCAAGATATATTTTTTTTTTCATCGGGAAACAAAAGAAGAAAAGAAAAGAAAAATCTTTTCTGTCTGGAATAAACAAATGAGTTGCCTCCCTTGAATCAGAACTGAACGAATGAGACAAAAGTCGATATTGGGCACACCCACAAACAAGACGAAGCGCGCGAAAAAAATCAGTGCGTGTGAGAACGAATGGATGAATGAATGAACGAAGGAATGAAAGACAAATCAAGAAGGCAATAGAACCAGGCGGAATTCTTCTTCAAAATTGGCATGTGGCATTCTCTTTCACGAAAGAATGCACAAAATTCCTATGTGTTCGCGTTTCATAATAAATTTGGCGGTTTTATTTAATTTATTTATTCACTAAACTTTATTCTTTTTTTTTTTTTCTTTTTTTTTGGCGTTTGTAGTTTGAATTTACACATAAAAAAATAATAAAATTACTCGAAATAAATATATTAACGAATGTTCGATTTCGGAACTAAAGAATTAAAACAAACGCTTAAAGAATGTTTTTTGCCTTGAAACGCATACACGTGTTTATTTGTGTGTGTGCGCGCACGCGTGTGTGTGTGTATGTTTTGATTGATTCATTTTCTACTGTTTATCAACTTTTTTTAGGTTATTTAAAGCTAGAAAATATTTTGGGATTATAAGAAATTTTGGGGGGGAGGATAATAATGATTTAGTAATACAAGTCTTACTAATTAACCCATAGCTGGGGGTGGAGAAGAGGTGGATTCATACCAAATCAGAATTTGATAAACAAAAAAGAATTAATGTGGATATAAAGTGCACGATCGATTATTACAATCAATATAAAAACTGATTCCTCACTTTGTGGCCACGGTAGTTTCTACATATTTATATTTCAGAGAATGTAAATAAATCTATAAGACATACCTGAGTAGCTAATTTGTACTTCATCGACTGATTGATTGATTCCTTTTCTACGGCTTATCGATCTATCGCAAGTTATTTAAAGCAAGAAAATATTTTTAAATTGTAAGAATTTGGGGGGGGGATAATAATGTTTTAGAGATATATTACTAATTAACCCATAGCTGGGGATGACGAGGTGGATTTATGCGTTTCCCAAGGGTATTTGCGCATAATTGAATATAACAAACCCAACTGGAATTGAAACTCGGCTCTCCGATTAACAATTACGAGGTATTATCCATTGCACCATCTACACATCTAAGCTTATGATATCTGGTATTTCTAAAGTGGTCACCCATCTAGTTACTGACCAGGCTCGATGTTGCTTGACTTCGATGAGCATACGGGAGCCGTTTTTTTTCAATGTGATGTGGCCGTAAGC